GAGTGAATCCAGATTGCTCCAGTCTCTGATGCCTCAGTAGGTGATCTCCGATACGTCTCAGAAGGATGTGGGCAAGAACCTTGCCTGGTATACTGAGCAGTGTGATGCCTCGGTGGTTGCTGCAGTCCCATCGGTCCCCCTTCCCCTTCCAGAGAGGGATGACCACACCCCTCAACAGGTCAGGGGGAATGGTACCAGATCGCCAGATGGCAGCCAGGACATCATGCAACCCCTGAGCCATAGGTTCACCACCAGCCTTTAACAGTTCAGCTGGGATGCCGCATATACCAGCTTGGAGATCACCCTTAACTTCAGTTTGGGAGGGGGCATCCTCACTGATGGGTGGGTCCGGCAACGGAATCTCGGGACTACCCGCATCCAAGTTAACTGTTGGTGGGTCAACCTGGTACAACTGCTCTGAATACTCAGCCCAACGCTCCCGCACCGCAACAGGATCTGAGATGATCTGACCACTTACTGAGCGAACTGCTGTCACCTGTGAAGAGGGCTTGGAGTTCAGCTTTCTCAGGGCTTGGTATGCAGGACGAAGGTCATTTACTAAGAAATGGCCTACCTCCTCAGCAAGGTTCCTAATAAACTGTTCCTTGTCCCTTCTTAAGAAAGACCGAGTTCTGCGCACCTGGGAACGGTGCAAATCTCGATCCCCTGCTAGACGATATATACATATATATATATATATATATATATATATATATATATATATATATATATATATATATATATATATATATATATATATATATATATATATATATATATATATATATATAATATATTATATATATGTGTGTGTGTGTGTGTGTGTGTGTGTGTTTACACATGCATACATATATATATATAATATATATATATATATATATATATATATATATATAATATATGTATGTATGTATGTATGTATGCATGTATGTATACTTGTATGTGTGTTTGTGTGTGGGTACATGTATGTGTGAATGTATGTGCATGCACATGGGTATAGAATGGTTAGAAATAAAACTGAATTACGTCTCTGATGATGAATTTGATGAGCCACAATGACAAAGTGATATATTGCAGGAATGAAACGACTGATGAAATAAAAGATTTCGCCAGCGACTTATATTCAATCGGCCAGTCAGGCGGCGATGGGCCTCGTCTTTTCAGCACCTACAGTACAGCGATAAAGAAGGATATCGCCAGAAGACGATGCCATTGATCTGGGAAAAGATGCAGAGGTTGCAAAACTAGAACTGCTCTTTCTTATGAGTAGTATTATGTAACTACGTAATTCACAAAGTGGGAGGTATAAATGGATCCGAAAATAAAGAAACCTAAACTGTGGCGTCAGCTGTTTCCTGTGTTGCAGAGGATACTGTTCCCAAGACAGACTAGAAGTAAACAACGTGGCCAAGGACTGCGTTTGATGGCACAGTGCATTAGGAAATTCAGGGCCTGAGACTGGAGGTAGAGACCAAGAGACTGGAGGGACTGGGCAAAAGTGGGAGGGCTTGTCCTGTTGCGAAGTGCTACGGGCTCAGAATATTGCTTATATTCGTTTTTATCTCAGTGTATGCATGTGCTGTACGGCAGCAATTCTTTGTGTGTACAGTAAGACAAGATGTATATTTCATATATCCCTTGATATTACTCAAAGGATTATTTTTCTGTGTCAAGAGAGCGTTACCAGTTTCTGTGATAAGGCCAACACCAGTTTCCCGTCTCTTATACGAAAATCTGCAATCATGAAAATTCAGGCAGTTCATATAAAGATGATTTGTATCATCAAAACACGACGCCTTAAAGGTTTACGGAGTTTCTATGTCCAAAGACCTATTTAACAACAAAGTAATCTAAAGATTAATATAATTTTATTCAATTACGTCATGTATCTGCCTACACGTATACATAAGGATTATATTTATTTTATTGAAGCATAATACTTTCAGAATATGAAGTCGCCGTCTTCATTCCACACTCTGGAGTTGACTTCGTAAGCCTGGTCAGCGTCGTCGCATCGGACCAGATGCTGGTAGTCACAAGTCAACAGGCGTTGGTTGAAGGCAGTGCCGAACCCACACAGGAAGCTGAACATCCTCTCGTCGCCGAGACACCAGTGGAACACCTTGGGGATAAGGAAGGCCAGGCTTTGAAGTTACGACGAAGCTCTTAATGCGGAATCAAAAGTCCTTTTTCTCATGTTCTAAGACACAGGTATAGATTTTAAGAAGAAACTACACGTTCCCAGTAAGTCCAAAGCTATATGACCGAATTCCTCGTCTCTAACCTGGCAGTCGTAATCCTGGTCGGCGTACATCCCCGGATAGCGGTTCTGACACGAGAAGCGCACGTCGCGAGGGACCTGCGCCAACTGAGGGGAAAACGGAAGTGACGCGAGGACATCCGGGACCTCGGCAGGGACGGCGAAGGGCCCGGCGTCTTCGCGGAAGATCTGCTTCTCGTCGGCGGCTGAGGGGAGAATCGGTGCTGTGTGGAGGCGTTCTGGATTTTAGACCGCTTTAATTTGGAAGAATACTTATATTGGTATATTTCTGTTGATAGTAGCATTAGCATAAATGTTTATGTTATTGTTAGTATCATTTTTGTTATGTTATTGTCATTACCATCATTATCATCAATTACTCTCATTTTTATCATCATCATTTGACATCATTATTATCATTTCTACAGTTATTGTTATCATTATTACTACTATTACCCTTATTATCATTTTTATCATCATTATTATTACTATCATCATAATTAATTTCTTTATTACTATTAGTAGTAGTAGCAGTATTAGCTTAGTAATGGTATCCTCATTATCATTATCATTGTTGCTATTAATGTTATTGTCGTTATCATTATTGTCAATTCTGCTATTATTACTATCAGTGTTTTTATTGTTACTGTTATCATATTTCAATAATAATCAACATTATTAGCGTTATTCTTAACGTTCTTATTGTTAATTTGACAGTGTTGTTTTTTCTTTACCGATCTACCTTTTCCGTCTACATCTTACCTTTCATTCGTTGATATTTGAAATTCTTACCCTTCCATTAGTTCTGCTTATTTACTATCCAATAATAAGCAGCAAGCCGCGTTATGTCAGTTTCAGGAAAATCAATGCAATTAATAGTATCTCTAAGTAGCTAAAGTTGATCTGAGTCCCGTGACTGATATTGTAAAGTGTAGGGTTAAGATCATTTGTGAATAAATGATAGTAATATGTTAATATCTCATGCAGGTGATAGATAAAATGTTAGTTTGACTGACTTTTTTGCGCTTTGTTAAGGGACACACAAAACATGCATAGAACATGTACATTTCATGTTATTTATTGCAATTCTTATAAATAAAGAGGACGTGGACAACAAAGAAATTCATAGTTAGTGACTGGTAACTCACACTTAATGCCTTGTTATTCCAGAAATGCAGTTTCTCGGGTCAGTAGATTCGTGGTGGTCCGTTGTGTGAGGAAATGGTCAAGGGTCATTACCTGGTCTTTCGTGTTGTTCCATATAGTCTTTTCGGGTCTTTGATTTCCGTATAAGAGTACTCAGAGTCAAGAGCATATCTCAGGCTGTTTCAAAGATTCGTCTAAAGACAAGCGGTGGCCTCGAAGAGCGTCCCAAGGGGTCGGGTAGTCGTCTTGAGCGTATCATTACTCACTCTGGCTCAGTCCCCCCGGCAGGAACTGCGGTCGCACGGGCTTTGGGGCTGGCTTGGTCAGCTCGCCCGCCGCGGGTCTTGCCTCTGCTTGCAGATCGGCTGGGAGTCTTTCGGGGAGGGTCTGCACTTGCTGAAAGCCTGGCGGAGGCGTGGGCTGCACCTGCGGGCGCTGTGGTCGAGGGGCGGGCTTCAAAAGCTCCGATTTAGGAGGAAGCTGGGCTGTTTTGTCCAATGGAAGCTCCGCGGGCAGGGTCTGCGCGGGCTGAAAGCCTGGCGGAGGCGTGGGCTGCACCTGCGGGCGCTGTGGTCGAGGGGCGGGCTTGGTAAGGTCCCCGGGAGGCGGTCTGGGCTGGACCTGAGGGCCCGTTGAAAGGGGGGCGAAGTCCTCAGGGAGAGGAGCAGGCTTGGTCAGCTGTCCTGGGGCTGGTCTTGGGTCCACCTGCGGGCGCTGTGGTCGAGGGGCGGGCTTCAGAAGCTCCGATTTGGGAGGAAGCTGAGCTGTTTTGTCCGATGGAAGCTCCGCTGGCAGGGTCTGCGCGGGCTGAAAGCCTGGCGGAGGCGTGGGCTGCACCTGCGGGAAAGGTGGTCGGGGGGCGGGCTTGGTAAGGTCCCCAGGAGGCGGTCTGGGCTGGACCTGAGGGCCCGTTGGAAGGGGGGCGAAGCCATCGTCGTCTTCGGTCTCCTGAGGGCGAGAGGCCGGCTTGGTGAGCTCTGACTTGGGAGGCAAGGGGGCGCTCTTCTCCTCCGTCAGGTCAGCTGGGAGCGTCTGAGGGCGAGCTGGAAGCACAGCAGGCAGGGTCTGGACACCCTGCGGAAGGGCAGCTGGAAGGGGCTGAGGCTTGGTGAGCTGAGATTTTGGCGGCAGGGGCGCGGTCTTGTCCTCCGGGAGTGTGGCCGGCAGGGTCTCGGGGATCACCGGCAGGATTCCCGGGAGGACGACGGGCGTCCCGGGCAGGGCGCGGGGAGCGTCTGGGGTTGCTGCCGGCAGAGG